TTAGAAAACGAAGTCGCCATCGGCAAAGATAGAGGTCATATGTTTGCCATCCAAAGAAAGAAAGAAAAAGAAAGGTTTTTCTTTCGGCTTTTCACGATTTAGTTAAACATGTAGAATTTGGAGCAAGATTATCCAACCCCAGACGGTTTGTTTGCGAAAGGTATTTGCTTACCAGCCTTCTTAGCTATAATTGGCTGTCAATTAAACCTGCTTATTCTTTTCAACAATGCATGGCTAAGCAATTTGCACGATCAATTAGAAGTTTCGATAAATTCCAAGAAAAGGAGACCTTTTCCGGGATATTACTCGAGGGAATTTCCCAAAACATAATTCTAAGGGTATTTTTAAAACTCCAAGAAACTTTAAAATGAATCAGCATAATATATATATTTAGCCAAGCCTAAAAGTGGAGCTCCCTAATTTTTTATTTTTTCCATCTATATCTAGTTTGCTTATCGTATGACCAATGGATCGAAAACAAGAGTCATTTTGAGTATATTATCCCTTATTTCGACTTATCTTATTTATGTTTTGTATTAGTTAAAATATAATACCGGACCAGAAATCACAAAGACTTTCGGTCCGGTCTACCGGAAACGGAAGTCACTATGTCAATCAATCAATCAATCAATCAATCAATTTATTTACTTCAATATGTGGGATGGGGTTGCCAAGATCATCCGAGCCAGAGGCTCATGTATAAAACGAGTGACAATAAAAATACTTAGTTAATAAAGATACAATACATTGGAATAAAAAATAATTTTAAAAGATCACAAATGTATGAAAACAATTAACAATAATATATATGTTAATGCTCAAAGCTACACCTTCCCGCATCCCACTGAATAAATTAAAAACTAAAAACCGGAAGAATAAGTTTAAAAGCCTAAGGGAAAAAAACAGATATAGTAAAACCCCAAGATATACAAAAATTACATTTACAATCGGCTCTCAAGATTGTAAGATTAAAAGATCTTAAGTGCTTACGATATTTACTCAACTCGGCCGATCTCTTAATGTAAGAAGAAAGTTGGTTCCGCAAATTCGAAGCCAGTGAAAGAATTGTGATAATATCGATTATTATAGGATAGTTGAGTGGGACTGTGATCGCTGTTCTGGCTGTTCCTTAAATTGTAGCGCAACATACTAGGTTCGAATAAATCAGAAATACAGTCAGGCCCATTTCCTTTCAGTTATACATTTAAAAAGGAAGACAAGAGATTGATATCGTCTAAGTATGTTCCAGTGATTGCATGTTTACAGCAGACAATATGGAATCATAATCTAAGCTGTTTCCGAAATAATAAGGTCCTTCCGTCCAAGATGGCGGGGCGAGTTATCTTCGGATTGTATACATGAACAGACATGAACAGTACTAATGTTTGGTTCAAACTCAAACCTTGGGAATTGCGTTGAATGAGTCGAACTCTAAAGGAAAATCTCCAATTCAGTAGCGGCGATAACAGGAGATGATGTTGGCGTTATACCGATTTGTTTGATCGAATGAAACGTTAAGATCAAGCCACATTTTAATACACAAGATCATACGTATTCTTGCTGTGAAGGTAAGTTATCACCTTAAATACAATGATTTTAAGCTATTTTTCTCAATCAACCAGTCACAGCGCTTCTACAACGTGTGAAGTGTTTTAAATTAGAGCTTATTAATTAGTGCATAGCACAGGCCGTCCAGTTAGGGGGGGGAGTATACTGAAAAGACTATAGACATTCTTGATATTGTTTACAACTTAAGGCTTCTTTTTCCATGTTACTGCCTTTGCTTTAAGACCGTCGGTTTAGGCTTTGATGGATTTTTTTTGGTCGTCGACTTAAGCCTTCTTTTATGTTCTATGTCTCAAGGACAGTTTTAACGAACACAGACGTGCAGTCGACAAAACTAACATTAAATCTAAACCCAGTACTTTTTCTGAACACTTTCTCTCTCACTCTAATCATTCTCATACTGACATGCAGTTAATCCCACTAGAGAAAATTCATTCTTCACGTGACTCAGTTCGTAAGGCCAGGGAGTCGCATTTGATAGATAAGGCCATGACTCTTGAACCTCATGGCCTAAACTGCCGTGACGAATTATTGTTATCCATATCCTTAGTATTTTTCCTTCCCAGTTTTTATGTTGTACGTCATTTCCGCCTCTCCCTTTTATTGCGACATTCTCCAGCTATATAATATTGTGATTGCTACAAGTTCAGTAACATCTGTAAACCTGAAGAAGGCTGGTATGGCCAGCCGAAATATTGTTATAAAAAACAATACACGTTGTTTTAAATCAGCTTTGCTGTAGTCTTCGGACTTCTCGTTCTTGTTTCTTTATATTTTGGCTGATTTGACCTCTTTTAAGTGTTGCTGCCTTGGTTTAAGGCCGTCGGGTGTAGGCTTTGATGGATTTTTTTTGTTTCTTCCTCTCGCCCTCATGGCCTCTGAGTCAATAGCCCATGCGGACGAAGACCGAATGGGCTATTCACTCAGAGCCCATTCGGGCTCGAGGAATAATTGTTAATTAGTATAAAACAGTGGATAGCGTTTTTCACGCGCTCTGATTGGAGGCTCAAACTAGGGAAATCCAGTGCTATTCACCTCAGAGCGAAGCCAAACTCGCGTTAGTTACGAGCAAAATAGCTTCCAGATTAGCTATTGTACCAAACGAAGAAATTTCACAAATAAACCAAGAAGCTATAAAACGTAGCTATAAAACAAATCAATTACTCAGAATGTGGCTTGTGCATGCTGCAGGCCCCTTGTGGTACATAACGAAATTTTAAGTCTAAATTCACTATTCTACAAATGTCTATTGTAAAAGGTAAAATTTATTTCGATCGTTTTCATTTTTCTTTTTTCTTTCTGAAGGAAATCCAGTTGAAATCCTAGTTGGTATTTCGGTAGCATCGTTTTCCAGCATCAAGGAAATGGATATGGTAATAATTTTTCAACACCTCGAGAT